CCGCAGCGAGTGCTGGCCATCAGGATCATAAGGGGGTACCGCACGATCTCCTTTGAGGCGGCGAGTCTCCTGGCCGGAACTCCACCGTGGGACCTGGAGGCGAGAGCCCTTGCGGCTCTGTATCAGTGGCGCAAGGAGGCGCGGGAGTTGGGTCGATGCCCCGAGATTCGAGAAATTGATGACCGGAAATCCCAACTCCGCCAGGTCATCATAGGGGAGTGGAGGGAACGACTCGGGCAACCGAGCGCCGGGCACGCCGTCATCGCGGCGGTAAGACCCGTTATGGAGGATTGGCTCGAGAGGCGTCACGGGACCCTCTCATACCGATTGACGCAGGTGATCACTGGGAAGGGATGTTTCGGGGATCACTTGTGTTTGATCCGCAAGGAGCCAACGCCTGAGTGCCACCACTGTGATGGCCGGACCGTGGACACGGCTCTCCACACGCTGGCAGAGTGCCCGGCGTGGGTTGAGCAGAGGCGAGACCTCGTGGCGGCCATCGGAGTGGGAGTTCTCTCGCTCGATAGCCTGATTGCGGCTATCGTGCGGAGCGAGAGTGCGTGGAACTCTGCCGTCTCTTTCTGCGAGCAAGTTAAGCTCTCGAAGGAGACGGCGGAGCGGGACCGGGAGAGGTTTAGGACTCTCTCGGCCCGCCAGGCCCGGTACCGCAGGCGACTCAGGCGCCGGAGGTTGCAGTACGACCTCCGTCCTCCATAAGCGCAGGCCTGGAGGTGACAGGTGAGGCCATCTGTCACCCTAGCGGAAGCAGGCCGGGGTGGCGGCGAGCGCGTTGCGAAGCGCGCTCGCTTCCAGGGAGCACATGGAACATGGGGTTCCCACACGGGGGGGGGGGGTCGTCTACTCGTCTGTAGATGACCCGAGGTATGTCGGGGCACCAGGGACTTCCTTTCTAGGGTATACCTGGTTTCCCGGCTATTAGTACCCGGCGACGGCGTGCGGTTTTAGTCGGTTCGAGTCCGACATGCATCCGACAGGTGGTATCCGAGGGAATTTCCGCACGAAAAAAAAAAAAAAAAAAAGGTCACAGGAGGTCAGTTTCAACTGTCAAAACGCACTTCTTAAATTGTTTTAATTATAGGATATAGCCTAATATCAGTCAGACTGAGTTTGAATTTAACAAACCTACTTAAATAAAATAGTGAAATGTGTATCAAGACATTAATATATCTGTATAACACTGTGCTATCAAGTTTAATACTTGTTATAAGAACAATGGTTAATACAAGATCACTATTTCTTGAAACTCTTAAATTTTGTATCTTTAATCTTTTGTTTGTTGTTGTTGTCTTGTTGAGTATATTATTATTATTATTACTGTGATTGGAGCTTGAAATTAGTTTAAAAATTGATTTCCCTAGGTCTAACATGGTTTATGCAAGTCTTGAGTCAGAATCAGTAACACAACAACATTGATTAAAAAATCGTCATAGCAAGTCTTCCAAAGTGAAATAATTTTATACCTTTAAAAAATAAATAAGTGTTTAGTTAAACTATGCGAGATGGTAGAGTGTGAGACTTGATGTATGCAATGCATTCAACTTAAGAGGACCAAGCAATGATGTAGATATAACAACAAAAAAGTATGTTACCTTGATTACAGATGAACACAATAAGTATGCAAATTAGTCATTTTAAAGTGTTATGTGAAGAAAAAAAGTACTAGTTCATAAGCCTCACAAAGTTAAACCTAAACACACATTTGACATCATATGAAACCTTGTTTTTAACTGTCACAATCCTCGATATGGACATCCTCTACGTTTAGGATGGTTTGACTTTAATAACTGCATGGTTTTCCTGTTCAATAAAGTTTAAAATCAGGCTTTCAACAAATGAGTCAATTATTTTACGAGTATACCTAACTGTAAAGTGTATACAAATATATACTCACACTTGTATACCTGAAAGATTAGACAGGGTTGTATAAAACACCATAATTTGCCAATTATAATTTGGTCCTACTCAAATCCCCATCCTCACAGCGATAATCATTGACGAATATACCTGCATTTTAAACCTCTGATATCTACTCAGATATTCACTTTAATGATATGCTGTAATAAGCAATGTTGATCTTCATTAAATGCACTTCGTATCTAACGTATTAATTTGGATAAGGAGTATATTGGACTGTATTGTTCAAAATAGCTTCGTAAATTACCCATTGAGTTTGAAATATATTTCTAAGATATACAATTCTGAAGTATATTATTTTGATCTATCTCGTATCTATCTTTCTATCGCTGAAAACCGCATTAAAATCCGTAGTGAAGTTTGAAAGAACTAAACATACAAGAAAAAAATGTGACTTCATTTTATACTATGTAAAGATTTAATGAGGTTCAGGAGTGTAAGCAATAGATTAAGAGGATCACATACCTGTAATTCAATGGATGTAGGAATCTCCCTGACATAAACGTCTTACTGAACCTACTCCTAAATAGGAAAGCAACTATGCAAATTAACTTATGAGGTGAACTTTTACACACAGGGAACTAAAAGCAAAATATTAGCCCAGTGCGACCAACTTAATATAATCGTCATTCATCACTCTTTTCTTCAAGTAAAAGTTCATAAAGAAGTCAGGTTAGTAAATCATCTACAATAGAAGAAATCTAATTACATACTACCCTACATTAAATATGTGTTATATAGATACTAAGCTCCATTTTTTATTATATAGGAAGCAGACGTATCACCTGATTGTAAATGACTATGGCTGCTCATGGACAGACACCTACAATTCAAGAGTCATATGTGCGTTCCCACTCCCATAAATAAAGGGGGAAAGGAGTTGCTCCGGTAACATCACTCCCTTGGGGAAAAGCAACAAAGTGTTGCTCTACACCAGTTTTCCATAAGGCTGCAGTATCACTTCGGTTGAGCTGGGCCATAAGATCGAGCATAGCTTACCGAGTTTAAAATTTTCATCCTATTTTTAACTAAAGTTATGTTATATCATGACAATAATAGTTAGCTTTTAAAAGATATCAAAAGTAGCTGTGTATTGCACTCCAGCATTAATGTAAGTGGACTGACAATAAATGCAATACTTTACTATATTATTTAATCTATTATTTAACTTCATTTGTAACGATGAAAAGTACTTATTATATGATTCAAAATTATTATTGACAAGTTATGTGAATGTCCCATTGCCAGCCATTATTCTTTGTTTTATTTAATTATTATCAGAAACTAAATAACAATATGACTAATTACAAGGCCATGACAATGGCAGTTACATGTAAGGCATAGTTTTTCTTTTTAGCTTTGGTGACACAGTCATTTAACATAAGAAACAAAGCAATTACTAGACAAATAGATCAACTATACAGCAAATTAAATTTAAAAAATACTTTTGCTATTTTTTCTTCACATAAAATCTGCAACAGTCGTAATATATTTCTTCTTGCCATATTTCAGTCAAAATACCTTTTAAATGTTTCATATCTCAAAAAGACCTTATTTTTATGTTTATAAAGTAATGAGTAGATTGTTACATCTATTACTTATGATCTTCAATTTAAAAATCTTTAAAAACACAACTTGTCACTCTTCCGAAAAAAAAACTGCATTTAATTTAGAAAAAGATATGGGAGCTTTAAGAAGACTTTCTTGAATTGCCTTATTCAGTAATATCAATTTCTAAGTAATAAAGTTATTGCGAACATGACACACACTCACTCACTCACTCATCACTATCATTCTGTAAACTAAACTAGATGGTATAAGAAATTATCTCACATAAGTCCTATCATATGCTGGATGGATAAGTAACCTTTTGATGACAAGCCTAATGACTTTGCGCTATGCCACTACTGCTGCATGCAGCATACCACAAAAATATAAAGTTTCAAAATGGAATTATGAACCAACAAGATACGAGTTTTCAAATAGGCTTTTCTTATTTTTCTTAACCTAAAGATAATCTTACATGCATGAGTCACTGTCTTAAGTGTAGTTATGATTTTATCACAAAATTCCAGTAAACATATGTTGATTTTGATTTCAATGACATATTAGTTTTCTCTGGTTAAATATCTCATGTTTAATTTATTAACAGTATACGCTTTCGAAAACTATACCTAAGAAAAAACAAAATTGTTTTTCTTAAAAATGACAAATCAGAAGAGTTAAATATGCCATACTCAATAACTATTACTCTAGAGTTAATCAGTTTATAAGGTAATTAATTCAGAAAATTGTAAAAATTTAAATGGCTATTTCTGTAAAATATTCTCATATTCTCAATAACAATAAAAAACTAGAAGTACAAACCCCAATGAGCAGAGTATATTCTCATCCAATAAGAAAATAGTTCAGGAGCAGAAATATATCACACTGTTATTGTCTTTATCTTCTTGTCTTTTGTTGATTATTACATTACTTATATACTATAATAATTAAACAAAAGACATGTATACATAAAACAATTAAATGATAATGTGTAATTCTACCAAGAAATGAATGAAAACATCCAACTGATTGTTGGAAAAAGTTATCTATGATGCTTTAGATGCTGTTAATAAATGTATATTCAAGTAAACAATCTGAATAGGCGGTTAACAATAATTTATACCAGTAAATGGATCGCAACAATGACTCAACCCTGCTTTGACAAGTTAATAATTTGACATTTTACCTACGAAAAAACAATTCATCTACAGTTCTTATAAGACCTTACAAGTTAATTTGAACCAACAATCGGCAACATATTAGTTAAGATTGTATAATTACAAACTCACAACACAGTTTACGTTGCATATTATGTACCTACTCTCGTAACTAGATGTACGTTCGGTCAGCTGCCATTCAAAAGAATATGTGGCAAAAGTCAAACTTTCATTTCGTACAAGGATACACTAAAAATACATTATAAACACTCACTATACAACCACTTACGTGTATAAATATGTAATCTTTACTTTCATTGCACGATTCCATTTTAGGATAAAAAAATTAAAATCGATGTTTACCTTACGTCTCCTCTCAATGCAAATCTTTTCTATTGCAGAACCAAGACTGCTAACCCTTCCGCTAGAGTCGAGGATGAATCCTTTCCAATGGACCTACAATGTGGTTCACGAATCAATTTAAAATAAAATGCAAAGCTGAAATAAATACAACTGTCCAGAAGATATTTTCTGCGAGTTACTATACATTTGTTTTATGAAATGGCCTAATCTTTTACAAGATTCCGTTCTGTATTTCCATAGACAATACATGTACTTTTTAATTTCGAATAATGAAATGAACGAGCTATTTGCCACTTTTGTCAAGGATATTTTACTTTCTCTATTGATTCATATTTTTTATCTACAATTAGAAATATTTTTGTAATCGATAAAAATCATTTTAGATAACGTTAATAATATAGCAGATATTCTTAAAACTAAGCAACACTTCTCAGGAGACAAAAGGCATTGGCCTTAGAATCCAATCCCTTATTGGTTCATATGAGGTGTTCAAAGACTAAACAGTCAATGTTAGCCAATCAAAAGTTCTGAAAGGTTTGTTGACGTCGCCGTCATGTTTTTTTTCCGTCACTTCATTCTTTGGTCATTGGCACAGATTAAAATTAAGGGAAATAATGTGGTCCATGGTCACATAACTTATTGATGGTAAATGGCAAACATTTTTAAAACTTGTAAGAATTGTAAGTTAAAAAAAATCTCTTTTAACTTTAATCACAAAATTAATTCAAAAAATATTTTTTAGAATAATAGAATATAAACTTTAATATAAATGAATACTGTGGCTTTAAATATTTAGGTTTTACGCGTAGAATATAACCTTTATCTTCATCCTTTAATTCATCAGCAACATAATAAAATTTTATTGCAAATGCGAAATCAGTATCTGTATTCGGTCATCATCTTCAACAGTATAAGAAGCACAAATCAAAGTCCAGTTAGCAATTGTTAGTCACGAATAGAAAACTGATTTCATCTAAGTTTTTCTATGAATTCTAATACTATGCTAGACTATTATACCTTATTAGATAGCTGACAATACCTACAAGTTTTGTCACAAATCTGCAACATGACTGTCATACATTTTTTTTACAATATTCGTCAAAGAAAAAAATATTTTTACAAATGTATTTCTTTTTGTTATTATTAACCATCTACTTTGACTCAGTTTGTTAAGTAAACTACAATTTTGGTAATGGAATTTATAAAACAATGTATCAACTCCACAAAAACAGTAAAATATAGTTTTTTTTTAGAATATAAGTTCTAAAAAAATGTATTAATAATTGTTAATCTCTATCTGTACATAGTCTGTAAATAGCATTTTTTTAATCTCATTGAATTTGTAATTAGCAAAGATAATGTTTGTCCTATATTTGACACACATAAGATCACAAATAAAAAGATGATGTTTAGTGTTAGATTAAGTGGATGCGCTATAGACTATAAGTACTTATTAGTGGAATCTGATCCAGTTCCAGGAATTAACATCATGGTTTAGTTTTGTATTGTATGTGCACTGCAATATTTGAGCCTTTTGCAAAGGAATAGAACCTAAGATAAAAGTTCGTTTTTTTATTTGGCTCTTTGAAAAAGTCCTCTTTCCCTACTCCACAGCTTTGGAAGATTGAAGTAACCTATGGTCTCATTAGCGATTCCTAGAATCAACACTTATTTTTCAATCTATCGTTGCTTTGACAGACTAACCAACACTGCTTACAATATTTTGGTAAACTTATGTACACCCATTGACCGCAACCGCTCCAATTTTTCTATCTTAGACAATTGAATATTTGAATAATCAACTACCAGGCAGTGCCGTGCCCCCACGTACCCTTTCTCGAAGCGCTTCATTATTTTGTTTGAGCCCTCATAACTTTGGTTTGGATTATTCCAGATAAACAAAATTCTCGGGATATGATGTCAACAGTAATTAATCATATAAAGTTTCAGTTGCATTGCTCTTATACTTGAAATTTTATTGAAATTAATAAACCCCGACTTCTTCATTGACTCAGCGATCATAAAAATTCTTAGGGTACTTCCGGAAGTTCTAGAACGCTGAAATTTGGTATGTAAGCTATTATTAGTACACAAACAAAAAAAAAATCTAAAACTTAGCACTTATATCTCCCAACCCCTTACACTAGGGGATTGAATTTTGTATGAGATTTTCTCAAATTTTGATGCTAGAGGTCTAAGCAGCTTACAAAAAGTGAAATCCCACTAAAAACATTTTGATGTAAAATATTGCCAAGACGAAACCATATGGTTCACACTGTCAAAAAGTTATCAGATTATAAGATCCATTTTCCATTTTTGCACAATATGTCCAATAGCAATAGAAAACATAGTACCTACTGTCTACTCGCAGGAGTAGACAGTACTTAGGTACTATGTTTGTAGAAGTTGTTCGTTGTCACCCTACAATGTAGTAAGTAAAAAAATTGGCAATAACTGTTTTTAATTCTGTAAATAGATCAATTGATATAAGGCCTAAAATAATATAAATGAGAGAGAGCGAGATTATTACTACTTATTTTATTTTATTTTCCCTTGAATATAGGAAAATAGGCTTTTTTATCCGTGAGTCGTGATTGCAATAACAATCAGAAAATGTGTCCTCATAATCGTACAATATTCACAGCTAAATAATCAATCAGCTGTCTTGCTTATCTTTTTGGATTTACGGTGTTTTATATATGCCTATCTTGTCCTTAGTCGGCGCGAAAATACAAAAAATAATTTTGGTAAGTAATTTTGAATTTGTGGCAAATTATTCAAATTCTTTCTTCGTTATATTCTTCTGAATACAGACATGTTAAAATCTCTGTGTGAGAAGTAAATATTCATACGTAGTCTCGTGACCATAATACCACGTTGGGTAAAATAATTAATTAAATGTTACTTTAAGGTATCATTTTAAACACATGAAGCGTTTTAAAATTATTTTTGAAAAGTTGTCAGCTCCCGGATTCCCAAATGTCCTTGCTTTTGTAGAAATAGCTTTAATGATGATACAATTGGTACAAAAAATGCAATGCAACACATATTGCTGCTCGAACATAAAAGCATAAGCCTACGACAGTTGACACTCCCGTCAAAATGACAGGCGGAATGAAGAACGGAGACTCCCCGAACGAGCGAAGCGAGACCGAAGGCGCGAAATTCAACTAAACATTTTTCTACTTGGGTTGTCGGTTGTCGCGAGAGTGCGCGCGGCCATGGGCGGTTGCCCTGCTCGCCACCCCTGTCCGCACATGTTCCATTACTAAGTTTATTAAAATATAAATTATCAGTTTTCGGATTTGCGCTTTTGATTACTGCTCTGAGCAAATATTTGTGAGACGTGGTAGTAGATTTCGTTTGCTTTACGCGTTCGTTTTTTAAACAAAACAAAATAAGCCTAAATATGCCTTTTAGATACGTAGAAATAACATAATTAGGTAAGAAATAAAACATGAGTGTACAAGCATATTATATAATTTTTTTTATAATAATTAAGAATAAATTCTTACATCACGAGTTATAAAATAAATACATTTATTGCCTTAAATTAAGTCCAAAAGTACTCTGTACAATTATTGTTAGCGATGTACAAACGAGAACGACAAGTAAAAATATCCAAAAACAAAAAAAAAATTAAAAAGGGTCTTATCGTGAAGTCAGTAAGTCCTCACAATTATCCATGTGACAAATCTACGAACAACTTAACAAATTGTGTCAGAATCACAACCAATAGTTTGCATTTAATTTCATCTCTTATCAATATTACACAAACTATTATATACCATTGCTCTTTGCTTATTACTAAAACAAGAACCATTCTTTACCTTATATTATAATTACAATTAAATTAAGACTATCTAATTGCTAGCGGGTGTTTCTTACTGGACTGTTGTGCTGATACTCACAATTACTCCTTGCCCTATGTAATCTCGAGATCTAGAGCTGTATGCAGACTGGTCGTGACCTATATGATACGTCATACCTGATCGTTTCGTTCGAACGCGCCTAGTGTGCCTCATAGATTAATTAATTCGACATGTTACATCATCCAATTTTACTTGGCAATTGGCACATAGAAATAAATGAGATCACACAAGTTCTGGACTAGTTTTAGTTATGTTGTTACAATTTAACACAATCCATACTTTGGACACTTGTTTCTTTCCGTCCAGTAATAAAATTTAATTATACTCTATAGATAAGTATTACAACATCATCATAAGCAGTTCTCGACCTAATGAAATCGATAACTGGAGATCATTTATTGCGCGATCGTCATATACAATGCCCAATGTATTATAAAAGGCTTTTATTTTCACTAACTAGTTATTGCTATAAAACAACCCGAATCGTTGTGATATACCTAATTTACATCTAAGATGTATGATTGTTGTTGTAATAAGTACAATTAAGTACGGGAGGTATCACAGTCTGCACACAGCTCCACGTGTGACATTGCGGCTAACTCTCGCGTCCGCATCCGCCGGGGTTCATTGCTTTATAAACAAGGCGTTACTTAACCAAGGCCACTGTGTCATCCACAATGTGCGACTACTAGCCTAGCATATTAATATGCCCTATGTACTAAGATTAAAACGAAAACTTTTGCGTTCAGATAATCTTGGCATTGTTCATACAGAATTACAGACAATAATAAATTAAATAAGACGGTTAAAAATATCACGAAATTAAATTCACGTGGCAAATAATATGGCATCAGATTTTAAGTACTTTTTATTAAAAGTAAGGAAAACTAATACTTGTTTAATACAAGTTTTAGCTTTTCAGTTGAGTATAAAAAAAATATATACTCGTATTTAGGTGTACTGTTATTATTTAAAGTCTCGTAAAGGTATTGGAAGACAGAAAAACATTGCTTTTTCAGATCAAAATTGAAACAGTTATAAAATGATACATCAAATACAATTTATACTGGCCATTAAGCCAAAACAATTACAATAAACCAATTTAACTAATTAGATTAATCACTAAAAAACTAAAATGGACAAAACATATAAAATTATGTACTTCTGTGTTATTAAAGTAACCAAAGTGCGGATTCAATAGTTTACGATTACAAATTAACACAGGGTTGGGCTCCATTAATTTCAAAATTGACTAGATATCTGTGTGCATAGGAATCATATATAAAAATAGCTAAGTAAAGGAACCGATACACTGAAATTCTGGCATGTCTGTGTAAAAAAATTATCTAAAACTAATTTATTGCCGTAAGCAAAAAATTACCTCTAAAACTGTACTTTAAATTATGTAGAGTACACAATAACACGTCTAAATTTTTGTACAATTTGTACAAAACGCATCTGCATTTACTAACATAAATCATGCTCAGTCAAGAAACCTAGTGTAATGACCTAACTCGAAACCGATACGCTAGTAAACATAATAATAAAATTAGTTAGAAAAACTTCACAACATCGAAAAATCTCACAATAATACGCGGACTAACGAAAATCACTAACAAAATATTTGATCTCTTATTTCACAGGTGTAATTTATTAAGTACGGTCGCGCTTCTCGACGACGAAAAACACAAACTACCACCGATCAGTCTGCAATACAAAAGAACGAACGCTAAAACTGAACAGCGTCGACAGGCCGTATCGTAGATCCTGTATGGCGCCGGGGCGAGGGGGCGCTGGGCGGTCACGCCGCGACACCGAGTCTAACACTAGCAGCACAGGGCGCGGCCCGCAGTCATCACTTGGACTGCTGGTAAGGCGGGTAGCCCTGGTGCGGCTGGGCCGCGCGGCTTCCCGTCGCGTACAGCTGCTGCTGGAAGTTGTGGAACTGCGCCGCATACGTGGGGTCCGCCGTGGATGGCACGGCGAATCCCTGCCCCTTGAAGCCGGGCCCCGGTCCGCCCATGGACGGTGGCAGCGGCTGCGCCGCACCCATGCGCACGTTGCCGGGGCCCATGCCACCCTTTACGCCACGGAAATTGGGCCCGCACATAGGGTTCGGTCCGGGCCCTCCAAACGGGTCTGATCCCATCTTCGGCGGGGAGTTGAATCCGGCCGGATAGTGGTGAGGCATACGCAGCATGCCCGGTGCCCGCATGACACCGCGCATGCCCGCCTCCATGTCCATGCCGCGCGCTCCGGGGAAGTAGGGAACGCCGCCTTTACTACCCTCCATTTGCATAGGATTCGTGACTCGCTGCAGAAAATCGAGACTAGGAGGACCTCTGGGACCCGAGTTACAGGGCATCTGAGGTCTTGTCGGAAGGTACTGTATCGTGTTAGGTGCACTCGCTTTCACTTGAACGTTGGCGCCGTTGAAAGGTGGCATTTTGCCTGGACCACCCATTCTAGGTCCCATCATCCCCGCGTCCGGGCCCATAGGTCCCATAGGTCCACCCATTGGCCCACCGCCCATTTTTGGACTTAAATTCATGTCTGGCGGAAAATCACCTCCAGGCATCATGCCCTCCATCGGGCCGCCCATACCAGGGCCTCCCATACTGTCCATGTGGCACCCTGTGAACAAAATGTTGACATTCAGATGTTGAAAACAAGATAGCGAGTTGCGATTCCGAAAAATTATGCCTTTTTTACCTAATTCATTCATCATCATGTGTGGATGTCCATGTGGATGCATTGAGTGATGGTGTTGCATGTGATGAGGGGCAGAACCGAATGGTCCCATACCACTGCCATTAGGTCCCATAGGTCCACCTGGTCCAGGCCCACCGCCTCCCACCGTGTTCGTTAATTGTTGCGACATCTGTGCAAGTGATGAGATGGGGTCGAAGGAAGACGTGGATGTACCCATGGGTCCGTTTGGACCCTGGTTAGGGTTGATGGGGATGTTGTCTGGCCTGTTCATACTACAGGGTCCAGGGAAAGGTCCTGGGAGACTCGTGCTATTGGGACCACCGGATAACGTTGTCTGTTGAACAAAAATTATATATTAATCAAATTATACAAATATGGGCGATTATATTCCTTTTTCCTTCTCTTGTTCTATTTGAATATTACATTATATCTTGTACTTTCAAGAATTGTACTAAATCCACTACTTATTTGTCGGCAAATGTAGGGAGCTGTTAGTATTATAGATATAAATGTAGACAACTAGCTGTTCATCTTTAGTTTATGCAAACTGTCTTAATAGTCTCTGCTTCGCTCCTAACAGTTCCGCAGCTTGAAATTACATACGCAATACAAATATTTATAATATATATAATATTCGTATAAATGCACCTCGTTATTTCCTGCGAGCGTGTCGTCCATACTCCCACTATTATTGCTAGGCGCCGTGCTGTTGGCGACACTACAACTGCTCTTGCTCCCAGCACATGATGAGGCGACGGACGATGGTGCGTAAGGACCTTGGCTCAATTGCTCCCGTTGAGGCGTTTTTGATGCACTTTCTTGACTTGATCTGTTTGATGATGGACTTGGTCGGGATTTTTCGTCTAAAATTTGAACATTTTAATTCATATTTTATTTTACAATATCAATTTAAATAAGTAGTTTAAAGATAGCAAACTATAATACTCGAAAATAAGGTTATCTAGCATGACTAAACTAAATGGAGCTTTCAAATGACCAGAAGCCCAATTCTCGTAATAAAGTTCAGACTTCTGAACTGAATTCGTACTGTATTATTTTTTTGTAGTAATTCCTCATTTTACGTTATAGTGTTTGCAAAGCATGAGTGATACATCCGGTGGAGCGTTGCGACTGATTTATTAAGCTACCAGAGTTCATTATACAAGGAAAGTCAGATCAAGTCCCTTCCCCTGACCAATCAGGTTCCAAGAAATTGTCATTTCACTGGAAAGTTTTGAACCTAATTCAGGGTCAGGGTACTCAGGGTCAGGGTACTCAGGGTGTGTCACTATTTTCTTGTATAAAAATGTACCTAATTGGTTTAGACATTAAATATTTAGTAGGACAAGCCTGTCTCTAGTGCATTATAAATAAGTGTACTTATTACTGACCTTGGCATTTTGTGCTTGCGGCTGAGGTGGGCGTCTGGGGGTTGTTGAAGCCAGGGCTTTGTTCTAAAGAGAAACGGCCAGCGCGAGCTTCTGATAACGACGAATGCGGCTCGGGGGTGCCCGGCATCATGCTATACAAAGGAATTCACATGTAATACCTTCCCATAACCTTTAGATGTTGCTTGGTCACTAAGGCATGTAGATAACCATTTATTGTGTTTATATGTATAAAATGTATGTATTTGCCAAATATATATATAATGTGTTTATATCAGTTATCTAGTATCCATAGTACAAGCTGTGCTTAGTTAGGGACTAGATGGCGTTGTGTGAATGTGGTAAGTAGAATATTATGGATTTATTATTATAATGTCCCTTACAGACAGAAGAAGTATGAGTAAGTACCAAATCGGTATAAATTTTGACATACTTTATTAGTTCAAATTATATTAAAACTATAGTTTAAATATTATAGAACTGTTTGAAAGAGATGTTTACATACCCGGCAGGTGATTTCTGATTAGAATTAGATTGTGGCGTTTGACCTCCACTGTTTGACGGCGGCCCGTTGTCTTTTAATGAGGTGTTTGGTTGTTTTTGTATTGTTAACTCTTGACCTGTTAGAATCACATACAATATTTATTTAACAATAGAATAGAAAAATCATTTTGATACTGACAAACGTATAGAATGAAGGAACAAATTAGCCATAGAGTATGAAAGTTCATGTTAGCACATTTTCACCAACCACCACCAAAATGAATCATAAAAATATAAAACTACTGTGAACACATGACAAAGGCAGTAACACATCTTATTCATACTTAAAACAAATAAAATATGTAACTACCCGCACACACACACACACATTTACACACACAAATGCAATTTTATGCGAGATTACTAAATTAATATTGATAAACCGAAAATATTATCTCAGTAGTAATCTTGCACCTTTTACATACAATAAAGAAAACATTTAAAAGCGTAAAAAAATGCAGTCTTAATCAGAGTCGCAAGCAGAAATAATACGTTTAGGTTACAACAGAAGCCTGGCGTTATAGTGATCGATAAGAATTGATGACTATGGTACATTTTTATTGGACAGGTATAGTATAAGCGAGTGATACGTCATTATTATTTCTGAGGACGTCCAATCAAGTTTAAGTTACCTTCGAACTGGTTGAGATACGATATTTGCTGCGGTGACGGCACGGGCATCAAGCTCGGCTCCTTGCCGTGAGAACCACCTTGTTGATTCTTCTGCTGCTGCGCCGCCAAACATTGGAGAGTACGGACAAACACCCCCTCGTCTAGTTTCTCTAGTATTTCTTTTGTGGCCAAGGTTTTGTCCAATAATTCGAATCCCAATTCAAATAGATTTAAAGCCACATGATTTAACAGTCCAGTTTTGTATATAGGAGGTGATCCGTATTTTTGAACATTTATGTTATTCGTTGTTATTTCGTCACACGACGGGATTTCAAGCGTCAAGCGTTTTGCGAGGGGAGGGGAAGGAAAACAAAAAATACGCATTACAACTACAGAAAAAAAAACAAAATAAAAAAATCTAGTCAAAATTCAACAATTTAGAACAAAATGTTGATGCAAAATGTTACACAAAAAAAAACGTCGTGGTTGGGAAAATGTCTAACACATAAAATTTACGAGCATGCTGTACTACTTCTATGGCTTCTGTTTAAGATTAAATTCTCATGCGAAACTTCAAAACTTACCACATAGGCTCTTACGTCATGAATCAAAAGGACAACATACTGATATTATCAACAAAATATCACATTAAAACATATTTATACCTACTAAAACATAACATGTCAACATTCACACATTGGTTCTGTAAAAACCATTCATTTTACAACAAGCACTTTAGAAAGCTTTTCATTGACAGTCCTAAGTCCTTTGAATTCATTATTAATTCGTAAGGTACGCGCGCTTTTTGTGCGTCGAATGGAATCGAAACTTTTAAAAAATATTTTAATATTGAAATGCGATTCAATTCGACCTTAGATTTTTAATATAAATGAAAGCAAGTATTCGAAAGTGGTACCGACCTGGTGCGTCCTGCTTAGGCCCCGGTTTGCAGTGCGCAGGACTGTTGAGTCCGCTGCCGGCGCGGGACGCTTCCGCTGACATCGGCATTTGGACTGAACCGTGGCCGGGAGATTGTGTTGCTAGAAGACATTATAAAATATTTATTTAAAAATAAAAAAACTTATGTTGTTATGTTAAAAAAACGTTTGATTACTAAAAAAGTAATATATGGCCATTAACATTTATTTACAAAGCATTTTTTAGGAAAAAGTGCCAATACATGAATTAATTTATTTATACCTCAGTTTTTGTATGTTGAAACTTTGCATAAAGTCATGGGCGTATTCTGAATTCATATAGATATCGACTATATCGACTTGTAGTCTTTTATAATACCGCTCAAATTGCATCAACTGAGGCTGACAGCGTACAACAAGTGCGTGCGATATGCACACCGTAATTTAAATGTTAATTATGGGCCATTAGAATGAAAATACGTAAACGGAAATTGTATCGAATGTACACGCTCTCAATCTATGACACTATGAAAATTGAGTAAAGAGTGCGTGTTAGACAAATTTATGCTTATTAAAATATCTTACCTATAGGCACAGAGGCGGATCGGTGTAAAGGTGAGGCACCATAAGGAGGAGGCGGTAAACAGCCACCTCGTTCTGAGCACGGTGACTTAACTTGTGTACCTGAAATGTTGGTAAGTAAGTAATAAAGTTTAAAGAGTCGTCTTATTCAAATGTGTTTTAAGTTAAAAATTAAGCATCATGTCTAGACAAATTCCACAAACTAAAATCTCACCCAAAAACAAAGGGTTAACCGAATAAATGATATTAAATTGACATCTTACACACTGTGATAAGTTAGTTTATTTATTAGTTATTATTTAATAGTGGTTTCAAAAACATTTACATACTTAATTCATTATCCATGGACTTTGGGTCGTCGAAGAATTGGTGATGTATTTTTTGCCAATCGATATCAGCTGAGGCGGGGCTCTTGGGGCTCCGAAGCCCCGCTTTATGGACACCTGGACCAAGCCCACCCGGGTCTCCTGGACCCATCTATAAAAATAAGTATAGTATTTATAGTATATATAAAAAAAAGAAATACACGTAATAGCTATTACTCCTACTATTAAAAATAATTTTATAATAAACACTTCAGCAATTTGAATAGTATTTAAATATAGCATGTTTCATTTGTTTATTAAACTGTTTTGCACACCTTACACTAGGTCTGGCGGTCCCCCCCCCCCTATTTTAGACACCGATAGTCGGTTCGATTGTGACACACCGCCCCACTGAAAACCCTGGTGGGGTGATGGCCCGAGAAGGTTGCCACATGCACAAAAAATATGTTCATATATATGCATTTAAATGCCTTTTACCTTATTTCAAAAATAGACTGATGCAATATTCTAAGTCGTTTATATGGTATAAAGTAACTACTAGCTATATTTCCAGTACTTACATTTCTCCCACGTCCATATTCATCACACATGGGACCGTTAACAGGCATACCATGATGATCAGGCCCGCAGTCCCCATGTACCATGCCACCCATCATGCTGCCGTCCATCATGATGCCGCCTGCAACACGCGGCACTACATGTACCATCGAGAAGATACTGATATAGGTCGCAGTAGTAACCAGTTGAAAACAAAATGTAGGCAGTAAACATTGATAAAAATACATCCATGATTTGTATAATAATTAATTTTATTAATGTTGTAAATAAAATTAATATTATAGACAGGCATGAGAAAGAGCAAATTTACACAAACAGAGTTTTAATTAAATTAACCCGTCACTGATCGTTTCTGGTGGAAAGGGTGCCCATCACACTTGCCGCATTGCCGCGTTCAATGGCAATGGCCAACCTTTGGACCAGGAACGAACCGGAGCTTGAGTCACCATTGACTTCTGTGTTTTCGACCTAGTTCCTTTATGAATTTCTTGGTAACAGCACCCCAGCTACCCATGATCTCCACCGCCACAGGAATGAAATGGTAAACTACTCATAGCTGCATAATTTGAATAATTAATTAGATTCAAATTAGGCACAAAATACCTCTATTTTCTAGTTGATAGTCAAGCCTGATAAATGACGTGTGGTTACAATAATAGTAAATGAGCATTATATTGAAGTACTTTTTTAAGCACATCCACACGGTAGCGGGGGTTTTCGCACTGAGGTAATTCTTCCCACCAGATAAGACTAAACAGATACCAACATATTTTTAATCTGTGAAATAACTTACCATTCATAGAGTTGAGGTTAGGTCCTGGCATCATTCTAGGTCCCATATGTGGCCCTCCCATCATACATGGTTTAGGCCCTCCCATTCCACCCATTGGATTTGGCATTCGCTAAAATAAAGTAACATTTGTTAAAATAATGTTCTGCAAAATATTATATCCATAAAATGTAGTTTACTAAACTTACCCCCATTGGTCCTCCACAACCCCTACCCATATGCATGTCTGAACACATTCCAGATTTCATATCAGGGCCTCCACATGGACCCCTTATGCCCTTCATACCACAAGGCCCCATCATAGGTCCATTAGGACCCATTCCTGACATCATTGGTCCATTAGGCCCCATCATTCCATTAGGTCCCATAGAGCCATGCCCACCCATCCCCATACCGCCCGGCCCACCCATGCCTCCCATCGGGCCTCCCATTGGTCCGTTCGGTCCCATTGGGCCGCCTGGACCCATAGGACCTCCCATAGGTCCATTGGGTCCCATTGGTCCAGACATAGTACAACTAGGACCTGAATTCATACTGTTTGGCATTGATACCATTGGGCCATTAGACCCCATAGGTCCATTTGGACCCATGCCAGACATGGGTGGAAAAGGCCCCATATTCATATTCGCAGATGAATTTGGAGGGTTGATGTCGTTTGAAGGTTGTGAGCCATCGCCAGGACCCTGATTGGGGTTTCCTCCGCTTTCTGGAAATAACATTTGTTGCATCTTGCGTATTGTGGCTAGTTGTTCTTCTCTGTGTGCACGTTGCTGTGGTGTTAAATTCTCGTCGGGTATTTTAACACCTGTAAATAACATAATTGTTATAGGAACATTTAAATTCACATTTATTCATGCCTATTCATATTGTATTATGTATTTTAATGTTTTATTCATGTATTTTATTTGTTTAGAGAAACTTTACCACTACCTTTAGGCCCAGTCTGGCACGACTCCGACCCGTTGTCAGCAGACGCTTGGCTGGATGGGGTGTCCTGAGGCGCAGAACCCGCCTCGGAACACGCGGGCAGAGAGCCCGGTCCATTAGCCATGCCGTTCGACATTACAGAGGGGTTTTTCTATAAAAAAAATATTACGAGGTAGATGAGTGTACAAACAATTTATGGATTGTTATATAGTTTGTTATTTAATTTATTTATTAAAAATAAAAAATTTCATAACATAGTTTCATAGTGTTATAAATCCAAAGAGTTAGGTCAAGTTTAATGAAGTTAAGAATATAGAGTTAATAAAGTTTACTTTCAGATATATTTTATAATGATACTTAATAAAAATAAAACTTACGGTGTCCCAGGGCATTTCACCATCAGCACCGAGGCCGTCCATGACACCACAGGACGGGGTGCCCCCTGGAAACCCATCCATTGGACCCATTCCGGGCCCCATTTGCCCCATTGGACTAGGCCCGCCTTTCATCATCATCATCTGACTGCCCGGCCCACCCATTCTGTTTGGTCCCATCATGTTAGGACCCATCATGTTGGGGCCCATGCCGCCGTGTCCCATCGGGCCCATATTCGGTCCCATTGGACTGCCCATCATGTGCCCGATTTGGTTTGGTCCGCCCATCATATTTGGCCCTCCACGCATTCCTCCTCTAGTTTTAGCCATAGCAAGATTATTCAACCACTGGGCGGGACTTTGCTTGTTGAATTGGCCCATCTTGAGTGGGTGTTTCTGGAATTTATAGAACACATTGTACAGTAATATGCCAGGATTGTACCAAGCGAAAAAGAGATCAAAACTAAGAGAATAGAACGAAACACAAAAAGAATAGGTAACATGAACTCGGTTTTTTATTTTTCTGTATTTAAAGGAGAATGACCATTAGTGGTACCGGTTTTTCTAACGGCACAGATAAAAATAATATCAAAATTATTTTCTTTATTTTTGAAGTCACTCCCATCAGAATGATGGATTTTCAACGGGATTTTCTTTTTCACATTAATAAAACTTTCCTTAGTTTTTTACATCACACGTAGTTTTACCCAACTGCGGAAAGGTTATATTTTATTTAGTTACGGATTAATCTCACTAATATTGTAAATATGAAAGTTTGTATGTGTGCGTATGTTTGTTACTTCTTCACGCTAAAACGCCCTGGGCAGATTTGAATGAGATTTAGTACACAAATAGAATATGACCTAGAATAACACATAGACTACTTTTTACAGCGGCAAAATACCTTATCTTTAGTAAAAAAAACCTAATAAGTCAATATTTGGTAAATAGGTGGCGCCATCTATACTGTTAGGTTTTGCACAAAGTTCATCTAGTTTAGAAACTATAAATGATATTTGGTTATTTTATAAACCTTTTTAAACAACTTTGGCGTTGTCGCAATACGGTACCGTGGTCCATACATTCATGGCCATTTAGACTATTCCTAATGTCTGCACTGCAGGAAACACATATTTATATAAATACATATTTGTTTAAATATGTATATATATGTAAAAATACTGCGAGTCTGTACTAGATAGTTTCCCAGTAACTTTCATAAACAGAGATTGTTTAAGTTCAATAATAAAAAGATGAGCCCTTTGCCGTATTTTGTATTTTCGGTGTGATTTCTAGTTGGACAGCAATAGATATTGGTAATGCTATTCCTGTATTGTTGCAGAGCATTAATATCACTCCGGCCGGCGGCTCATTTGTGCGCAATGTAGTAATAAGTTAAGAAGAAAAAACAACTTACCTCAAGATATTTCTTAGTGCCGGGTTGTGCACAATGATATGATATTATTGAATGGTGTTGTCCAGATATGACTGCCTCGGCGCCCTTGTTGGCCAGCAACGTAGAAAACACGAAGATTTGGCTTTGCTGCTGGGAAAATATCCATTATTTATTTGATTTTTGGTTTCAATAAAGTACCTACTAATGTTATGAATGCGAAAGTAACTCTTTCTGTCTGTCTGTTACGCTTTATACCTCTGAACCGATTTAAAACAAATTTGGTATGGAGATACTTTCATTCTTGACAAAGGGCATGGCTACTTTTTATAGCGATAACCGGCATTCACGCGGGCGGAGCCACATGCAAAGGCTAGTATTAAATAAATAAATTTAAAAAAATTAAATAATTAAGTTATGCATAATGTATACTTCTATGTATGTACGTCGTTACCAAATTATAGAAATAATTACCACATGTGGAGGACCATTTCATGAAATATTCGGTCACGATATGGTCTGACCAGATCAATTAATAATCAGCATTTAACGGTGTGAACAGCTAAACGCAAGACTTCTTCATGATATGGTCAATCATAAGTGATCATATCGTAAAATATTTTCATTTCATCGTTTTATTTATGGGTTAACATGATGGTGGCGGATACACTTTTGTTTTTTAAAAATATATCATTTCCAAGTTATGTTGTTACCTCCATGCTGCCGGCCTGTTTGCTGATCACATTGGAGGGCAAAGTCTGTGGCTCGCTGGACATAGCTCCCATAGGCCCGCCGGGACCCATCGGGCCACCCCCACCCCCCATGCGACATGACCCCATGTTCTCCGGACCACCGTTGGGGTTACGGCAATTTTGATTTCCATCCTATGATAGTACAAAAGTTTTTTTGCTTAATTTATGTTTTAAGTATCTACATTTAGCGGTAAATTGAACATTGGCTAATATAATGTTTACGTAGGTTATAGATTCATTTTTTCTTTGTTGAGAAATAACATTGTTTTCGACGACTAGACACGATATGCCAATGTGAGAATTTCTTAAAAATATTAAAAAAATGAAAGATTTGCTTCTTGATCAGTAGTAGTTGCTAAAGAAAAAATATATTACCATACAATGTATGACTGAACATCGAAAGATCAAATACAGGTCAAAATACAACACGAAATAATAAATTCTATACAGTTTTTTTTTTAATATTATAATAAAATTATAATATTATCTTTAAAATGTGTAAAAAAACCAAAATAATTGTCAAAATCCAAAATTTATGTACTTACTAAAATATTAATAACCGACTATTATAGGACGTTAAGTTTATTGAACGGAGATAATCACGAAAGTTTCAAACTTTCTCTAAACAGCCGATATTTTTGTATTAAATAATATAATTTACCTATGTATGTAATTAGGATTATTTTCGATGAACATCGTACATATCTAATACAGTACACATATTATGATTTTAACACCTACTTTAATAATAAAACTTCATAACTTTCTTATTATTAAAAACGTACGTTATTTAACAAAATAAATAATTTCTCCTGCAACTGTTACCTGGAATTACAATTCGCCGAAAAAAAAACACTTCTATTTTATTATACCATTCACCCTTCAATTTTAATATTTTAAGTACTAACAAAAATACTTTTCAAGGTTGGAAATTACTATTGAGACAAAGTATTGTTTCTGAAAGTAGACAATTAGGGCTCATTGTGTACTTATAAAAAGGAGCTACCCGAGTTTTAATACAATAGGATTTTGATAACGACGCTTTACCTGAAGATTACTTGACGGGCCTCTAAGGCCAGTTTGTGGATCCAATATGTCTGTCGAATCTGACGATAATCGTTCTGATTTTAGAGACGCTGGCCCGCCGAGTTCGCACTGTGGCGATTTTGTGGGGTCACCTGAATGAAAAAAAAAAATGTTATCATAAATGTAAGTTTAGTATCTTAATATCGTAAGACCTATTTCTTAGCGTTCCATGGATTCACCGTACGGGTGTCGGGTCTATCGCGTGATAGATGTGGGCAACACATGCGATTTCGACAGCGCCTGAGAATTGCGCCTCAGGAGTAGGTTGGAGAATTGCGTCCGTTTGGTGACGGATTAAGAATACAGAGTGGCACCACAACTATTCATCCCGTGAGTGTCGTAAGAACCGACTAAGGGAGTAAACTACGCAGGACGACAACACTGCAGAGAGAAGGAAAACTTAACACAACCCCTATACCAACCCGTCTGGCCAGTATAGTAGGCCAAAACCTTATTTCTAAGAAGAGGCCTATGTCCAGCAGTGAACTAGTAAAAGCTGTTCATAATGATGATGATGATGAGTAGGTTGACTAGGTATACTTTGGATGTTGCAGCCGTAATAAGTTACTTTTATACACAAAACTAATTTTTGTACCAAAGAATCACCAATAGTGAGTATTTAGTAGGGGGCGGTTGTTCTAATAAATGAGGTTTTTATATGTTAATCAATGACAATTATAGATTCTTAAAATATGAATTAAGTATAAAACATTCGATAATTTATGTAAAATGTATATGTATATAAAGTTATGTCCAAAATGTTTATTATAATAAGCTTTTGTTTACCAAAAAGCATAATAAATTAAGCATTATTTTTAGAGTTGGTGTAGATACACTTAATAAAAAATCTATAGCATAACAATTGTAAAGGAAAATGATAATTAATAAAAGGGACTGTCGATATAAAAAAAATATAAACAAAATAATAATAAAATGAAAATAAATTTAATAATATGTAATTAGGAAGAAAAATAAATTCTTATTTTCTTCTATGGGTGTACTTCCTACTTTCATGCATTTTTTCTTGGAAAATCAAACAGCTGTAGTGTTTATGTATATATGTATGGGCTAATAAACAAAACTTATTTCCCCTTTAAATAATTTACGTTTCTTTTTAAGTAAATAAAAAGTGCTACAGTATATATTATAGTGAAAATTAGTTACCATCACTGTCCATAAGGCCGTCGATTTCGGTCTTGATGCCATCAACCCCTAGGTCTGCAGCTGAATCTTCACCCCCAGGCTGAGTGTGCGGTTCCATTTTGACCCTGTGCGGTGGCTCGTCAGGCTCTTTTTTCAGCGCCGCCGGAGTCGGTAGCGACGCTGATGGCGGACGCGATCCATGACCTGGGTAAATTTTACTGATGTTACGTTTTCTAACACGCATTTTGAATATAGCCTACAGAAAAACAATACAATGTCGGCAACTAACACACGACCTGTTAGAAGAAAAGAAGACGCGCCACTACTGATAATGGCTCATTCAATAACACTACCGAAGGGTTACCATAAACAATAAATAAATAGTGTTGCTGTCGGCAGTTTTTTTTTGTTGAACTATAGTATTGTTTATTACTGATTTTTTAAAATAATAATTACTTATAATATTTATCTTTAGATATTATGATTTTTTATATTTAATGAAGCAATTTCGTACGTATGTTTGTAGTTTCATTTGGCCCATTTATTAAAAAACATTACCTTTACATACTATCAAATAAAGTCGCTTTTTAATGTTGTACGCTAAGATATTTTAAACTAAGCAACGGATTTTAATGCGGTGTTCACCAATAGGGAGAGTGATTCAAGAGGAAGGTATAATACATGCATATTATAGTAGAGAAAATCCGAGATTTACAGATTTGTCGTAAAAAAACGTGCTTTTGTGCGCTTACATTGTAAACGCTGGCTAAACCTTACGAGATAGAACAAAAAATGTTTACTACGGCATTGGAAAAAAATCCGCAAAAAAAATCCACGATGGTATATGTCAATCTCCTAAGGATAACCCACAGTAACCATTTTTATCTTTTAAATATTACAAAAAAATAATGGGTTATTCGTAATCGTTAGTATCGTAATACTAACTATTTTAAACAATACATTATTATTATTTATCCAATTTAATACGTTAGATACGTTGTGCATTTAATGTACATTGAAATTGATCTTTGCAGCATATCATTAAAGTGGATATTTTAGAAGATATTGGAGGTTTAAAATGCGGGGGACCAACGACCGTCGTCCCGGTCCGTACGTCCGTCCCGGGTGGCAGCGGCCGGCAGGGTCGGAGCGGGCCTATAAATATTGCATTTAAAGATGTCCTGTCGTATAGTCCTATCACAACAATAGTATAATTAATTACTCCACACTGACACCACATCAGTGCTATTAGTAGTATCTACATTGCACCCGTTCGAAGCCGGAGCAGATCGTTAGTATTATATTCAATATCACCGTACGATGCATAGGAACGCAACAATATCTCTATGCACAGTAGTTATTGCAAGTAATTACTAAAATAAACAATTAAAAGCACTCAATTAGAACAAAATTTTAAGAAGTGTTTTAGCGTTGAGTAAATACAATTACTAACTGGACATCGAGAGATGAATTATATACATTTACGTAACGTAAGACAGATTTACATAAAAACAATATTTTGAGAATCAATGAAAGTTTTAAGTATTCATACTTTTAACATAGAAAGTAATATTTACCTAGTTTGTTGATTACTGCTGCGAAAATAAAAAATGATTCGTCGGGATAAATGAGATGAATCTATTACAAGCATAGCAACATGATTATGCTTTCACCATTTATAATGAATTTCTATTGACACTAAGCATAAAATAGTCATTGGAGTTTAACTTTTACTCTCGTAATTTTATTTTTCATCTTGAAAACAATAGTCAACAAGTAAATGTTTTTAATATTGTACTTAAATACAGGCTTATACTTCAAGCTTTCGAGGGGTTGTTACCCCTTTTGACCATCTTGTATGTGGAATTCTCATATATCATTTTTAATGGCATGCTCACATCATATAAGGATTACTTTTTCTAAATTTGACGCTTCTACAAGCAGCGTTTCAAGCTATTCATTCATTGATCATCAGCCAGTATGTTTTTTGTATAATTATATGTATTATAACAGTAATGCTGTGGTTTAAATAAATTAAGTAAACTTGAATATTTTACTGTTTTTAAACTTATTATAACATCAGAATTACTAGTTTGAGAGAGTTTACGTTATTAAATTCGAAAAAACAGATTGATGCAGACGGTAGATAGGTATTTAATGTCTACTTTACATAATGTTTACAAAATAAGTTTTACCTACTATTTTTATTACTTTACTTGATTTCAAAACATACAAAAATAAATTTTAGTCTGTTTCTTAGTCTTTACATTTTGCTTTAACGACGTGGGTTTCTTTAAGTTTACATACATGTAAAAGTATTATTTTTATATTAAATTCAACAGTATTTACGTGTCACTTTTGTTCTAGCGTCACTTATTAGTTACTTTCACATAATTTAAAAAATACAGTCGAATTGATAACCTCCTCCTTTTTTTGAAGTCGGTTAAAAAATAATGACATTGATTATTTAAGAATCAGCATCCACCAATTTCTCTATAAAACAATCTACTATCTGCAAACTCATACTGAGTCTGTGTCCAGTGGTGCCATGGTTCTCAATGTAAGAAAGGGCCGAATCCCATTAGAGTTTTATTTATGAGTACGAGAGAGTGACTATACAAATTGTTTTTAAAATAACAAGGATTATTTCCATAGAAGAGAGCTTTTGGATTGGTCAGGTAACATTCTTGACATAACAAATAAACTGTGTGAATATAACATCAATTGGTATGTCTTCATTCATGAGTTTGTTGTGTTTCATTATTTAATAAATGTAAACTCACTCCAAACAGGCCAATTAAGCAAATATGTTATAATGACTAGTAGTCTTATTAAAGACAAAACAAATTAAAAGTAATGCCATTAACAAATAAAAGGTATATTTATGTGTTTATTTGTTTATACACAAGATTATTAAAATTAAATTTCAATTTTTAAATTTAGTACCAAACTGTGACTATGAAATATTGTTTTAATTATTTTTTTTGTAAACAGTATCATTGCATTATCAAGAGAGGATTTATAAGGTTTTGCATTATATTGTTTTATTAATATTTAAAATGATAACACACATATGTGTTTTAGTGATGAAAAACCTATATCTGATTATTTACTAGTAATAGTAGACTTTATATAAGAGTTTTAATAACATTTTTAAATTGGTCAATTTCATTGCCGGTCTATTAAAACCAGAGATCCTATTCAATTATTCGAGTTGAACGAAAAAATTTATAATGAATACATTACAGTACTAGAGATGAAGTTGAAAAAAAAAACACAACTTTAACACTATAGTTAAAAAAGATTTTCTGATATAGTATAGTACGCGCCATATAACTCTGCGTCAACGAAGTTCGCGCGAAAAGCGCAGCAAAATGATATTTTAGTTTTCGGGGGGTAATTTCTGCGCATCGGCAAGAGACGGGGGGGGGGGGGCTTGCACGTGCATCTCGTTCTAACACGTTAAGTGCCTTGCTCTAACGTAGTGTTGTGAACATAATTCATAAAAAAATCTGTTAACATTGTTATTTGCCTTGTTTATGTTAGTAATTGTTTTTTTTATGTTTGTAAGCTGATTTCCTACTTTAAAAAACTGCGATTTACTGAGAACTACCTTAGATTATTATAGATTTTATTTTAGTAATTTGCCACTTTATTAGACAAGTTTTAAACATAATTCTAAAACTGTCTATTCTTTGATAACGTATTCACTAGTAGTCCGGCGTTGTTCCCAAAAGCGTGATATGTATTTTACTTTTTTGCCAATAGTTTTTAAAATATTACCGTAATCGTTCGGAAATTGTTCGTGTGTATCTAACACATGTACATGATATATTAGTTACAATAACATTACAACATTACTTGTTTGTAGCCTAACAATTCACACAAAAATATATAAAATGTTTTTAGTCTCAGTACATTTGTTAGCGAGTGTACCTGCGCAACATTCGGATTGCAACCAACTTCATTGACACAGAGTTATGTGGCGCGTGCTATACGAGATCCGGCTGCAGAATTAGTGCACTCATCGTGTGTTTGCTAAAACCAAATTTTTACGCATATTTATGATTAGGAAAATTTATATCTACCAGGTTGCCTATCAAAATGTGGCCGCTATTATTATTAATTGATTTTTCGTAAAAAAATTCATACACTTGTTGTTAAAATAAAATATCGTCCACTGCACGGCAATATATATAAAGTTTGAAAAATCACGGTTGCCGTTGCGCACTTGGCCGCACCTCTTCGCAGCTAGGTGTAAACAGGTATGATTTTGATACATTTATCATAACGTACGTTTATTATTTATATTTAAAATTGAAGCTAATTTTTTGTCTGTTTATTATAACCGGTTACGTTTACGGTTGCTTAATTAAATCTGGACGCAAAAAGGGGTTGCTGGCTGTTAAAGATGGTATATATTTAATGTAGAGTAAAAGAGAGTCAGCGCGTTACATCACTAGTCAGACTTGGATAGCGATTGCTAGCTACGACGCTTTAAAGCCATTGCTCATGCGTCGAATGCTAGTGTTCTGAACCACCGTTGCAAACAGTAGTAGGGACGACTTAATAAATACTCCAAAAGAAGTTTTCCTTTTCAAAATGTCAAAATTAAAAATTACAACAAAAAATTAATATTGATGAAAAATAAAACCAAGGTTACTTATGTAAATCAAATTTTTTACTGGTAAGTATATCATAAATTTAACCTATATTATTCAACTAGCTGACCTGCGCAACTTCGTCTGCGTCTCTCAATAGTAATAAATTTTCTCCGTTTTTGAAACATTCTTCATTGGTGCTCCGCTCCTATTGGTCTTAGCGTAATGATATATAGCCTATAGCCTTCCTCGATAAATGGGCTATCTAACACTGAAAGAATTTTTCAAATCGGACCAGTAGTTCCTGAGATTAGCGCGTTCAAACAAACAAACAAACAACCAAACAAACAAACTCTTCAGCTTTATAATATTAGTATAGATTTAAGTTTTACTAACGGTTTGTGTTTTGCAAAAATCTTCGATTTCTTCTTTATCTTTTTGCTTTAGAACTGTAATTCTTTTAGACACTGTATATACTCTATATATTCAAAACCATCAGTAGATTCAATGTTAATAAAGTGTCATTATATTTATTTATTTTTCCTACGACGAAACAATAACATTAGCGAACACTTTTTGAATGATGCATTATCAAAGTTAAGTACACAGCATCTTTTGTCACACAGAAAATACGCCTTCATCTTTATCAATATAACGAACGAATATATATACAACAATAATAATATCTAACGTTGTTTTTATGTTATATATACAGCGTGGTTTTTATGTTAGAATAAAAATGTCGCAGCTGTTCAGTTGAGAACACCAGCATTCGACGCATGCGCAATGGCTTTAAAGCGTAGTACAGCTAGCAATCGCTATCCTCGCCTGACTAGTGATGTTACGCGCTCTCTTTTTCACTCTACCTTAAATATGTACCATCTTTAATAGCCAGTAACCCTTATTTGCGGCCACATTTAATTAAGCAACCTTATTTCACAATAAACATAAAAAAATAGGTTTAATTTGATTTATAACTAATAAACGTAAGTTATGAACGTATAAATGTATCAAAAGCATACTTGTTTACACCTGGCTGCGAAGAGGTACGGCCAAGTGCGCAACGGCAACCGTAATTTTCAGTTTTTATATTTATTGCCGTAAAGTGGACGATATTTCATTTAAAAAGCAATCAAACAATATTTTTTCCGAAAAATCAATTAACAATAATATAATTAAAAATTCTAGCTGCCACATTTTAATAGGCAACCTGGTAGATATATATTCTCCTTATCATAAATATACGAAAAATTTGGTTTTTAGCAAACACTCGATGAGTGCACTAATTTTGCAGCTGCAACTCTGGCTTAACACACTGATATTAATTTTTACTTTATTTCAGTCTAACAGACAATTTTGATGAAGTTTCTATATGAAATGATATAGTGTATTCTTACCGGGCTCAGCAGGATCATTGGGCTCGTCTTTAAGACGGGCACCTCCGCCCTTCTCCTTCTCCTTGATCATTCCCCTGCGTGCCTTCGCCAACTTGACTGTATACAAAGTAATAATAACAATATTTATTTGATCTTACAACTTCTTAATTACACCTGTAAATGATTATAAACACAGTTACTGCAACACAAAATACATCATGAAGTCCTATATCTGCCTATAATAATGTAGAGTAAAGTAAAGTTAACTGTAGAGGAAAATCTCTGGATAATCAAACAACATATATTTTTTTAATGAAATGGAATGTCAGAAGAGAGAGATGAATGATGAATCACATGCATGCTATCAACAGGAAAAGAAAATAGCAGCAAAATAAGCTACTGGATCAAGGTTCTTCTACTTTTTTCCTTATGGCAAATAAGTAAACCAATTTTTAACTTTATTTGTTTCAAGTTAGAAGTTAAATGAATACTTAACACATGGTACTTCTTTGTATATTATATTGTTGTTAGCATATTTTACTTTTCTAGGAAGAAATATTGGTGATCAATATAAAGTAAACATTTAAAATTGTACTACTAATAATAGTAATGACACTTATATACACATAAAAGTAAGTTTTGAGATGAAGGTTGAAAACAAATTACCAGAAGAACATTTCATATCCACCTGGAATAGAACAGTACTTCTTCCTTCAATATTCCTTAATTCTAGTAGTAACTCAATGGACTGAACCCAGCAAAATCCAGAATGTCTAATACTAATTAGAAGAAAACACTGCTATTAAAAGTTATGGGACCCTGCAAAATATTAAGTTTAAGTTTGCTTATTTCTAGAATAAGAAGCATTTTATTTACTTTACTAAAATTTTGAAATAAATACATAAAACATATATCATTTGCCATTTTATTGTTTTTTTTTTCTTAAATGAATTCCTTTAGTTTGTAGACATTAAACATAAGTCATTATTATAGCACATAAACATCCGCACTGAAACCAAGTTATATAGAAATGCAAAATATCCATAATTATGTTAACCATAACCAATCAAAACAGAGACTTGAAATAATTAAGTTTTTTATTACACTAGAAAAGGTTTTTTTTTTAATCAATGTGTATGAATGTTGAACGGTTTACATTAAACTTAGAGTTTAGAACCACTAAGTATAATCTATCAACGTAAAGGCCTTCATCGAATCTCTCTATTCCTTACTACTCTTGTACTCTTCAATTATTATCATATTATATATTATTATTCTAAATTTAATTGAAACCTCTCATGTTACTTAAATTACTCAAGCAGTTAGTTATAAAGGTAATTCTCAATCATCATTAATAATATAAGCTAGACCTTGATTCTACACATTTTAAAGCATAATACATACCTGTTATGAATAAATTAAGTGTTGAAATTTATACATTTGGCAATGTAATTTTTTTTTGTATTACTGTTCTTGTCATTAAATTAAATTACAATTTAAATTGACTGATCTCTAAAATTATGTAATTTATGTACTTCTTCCTCCAGCTATTGATATAGAAGACACATCTTATGAATTTCTGCACTATTCACAAGTTTCATCAAATACTATGCTTTGAAGTAATTCCATGTGTTAATGTAAATCACAAATAGCAATGGGCATTTGTATACATACAAAACTAATCCGCGCCGCGGTTTCGTCACGGGCACAATAATTGGCACATGTCCCACAAATCCACAGAACGGCACTTCATTACAAGAATGTCATTATACTGCACCAAATGATCGAGAGATTATTATAAATAGAGATCACGGAAAACCTTGGCGGTCGGAGGGACGCCGACAGCGCCGAGTAACCCTGTCGTCACTACCAGTAGCTGTAAACCCTAATTGTTTCCAATATTCAATTATAACGTGAATCCGAGGCGAATTCCCATAAAAATTCCTAGTTTATTCTCCATACATAAACAATGAGATAGGTCGGGTGTAGACGGGCGCGAGCACAAGAAACGCACGTTAACTATAGCTGATTTATTGCCTAAGGAACTCTATTCGAACGAAATAATAGCAGCGGAGAAAGCGTCTAACATTATTTTATATCATTCGTGTGATCTAATTAAGGTATAACGATGGGTATGCAGCAAGAAACAAAAAATCAGGATCGCTGACATTTTTGTTTATGGTACATCGACGAGATCCAGAATCCACAAATAGCGAAAGAACGTACACGATTACCGCCTTCCGACGGATTCACTAGCACTTGATAACACAAAACACTGCGTCTGTTCACATTTATGTAAGTTTCATCATCAAAATATACCTGATTTAATTTAATTTCTTTATATCAGCATTAACACAAATCACCACGCACACACAACACAACATACATATATGTGCCCAACACTAGAGCGCTGAGCCGATTTTCATAATCATTACTTGTTAATGATTAGTCGATTTTATTTTTTATTTGGCAAAGGATCGAATAGACTATAAGTCATTAAATATTTTACAAACTTCTGATTTAGTGACTTTTTATCAATAATTAGCAAATTATTAGTCGTGTAGCCTGCAAGGTGCGTCATACAGACGTCTAATGAATTTCACATACTTCACATCCGAGGTTTATTTTCTATGTCAAGTCTATCATTACCAATGTGCAAAATGAGATTATAAATTCTTGAGATAGAAGTGACTTATTTGACTTAATGTCCTAAGTTTCCCGGATGGGACTGAAAGCGTCCACTGGTAACCTTTGTTTTAATAGATCTTGAACTTTATGCTTTATTTTGAAAGCTAGGTTCATCGTTAGGTGGCCAGAATACATGGTATTCTGGCCATCTATAATTGCTATTGCTATTGCTACTTGCATTTTCTACAGTTCCAAAACTATTGTTTTTTTTAAATATCGGGCCAGTACATGGTCAGAATTTGGCGAAGTCATCATTTCACGTCACTTGCTGTGACATGTACAACGCATAATCTGGTCCATATAAGACAGTCAGGAATTGAAAAAGTTAAGCATATACACATATGCCTTTATATATTCTTTTGCCGTTCATATGTTCCAGAAGGCCGACTCTGGTAATGAAAATCGTGCAAAATTCAGTTCCGATATACTCTCGATCTTACAAATCTGATAAAAGGTATTGTCGAAGTAAAGTATTAAACATCCAACGTTGACTGTAATGTGATTACACAGTATCATGACCGATAGTTGAATTGGTATTCTGCTAGTTGTAGTATTTGTAGTAATACTTTACTATAAGAATACCTTTTATGACATTTGTGAGACCGAGAGTAGATTGGAAATAAACTTTGAACCAATTTTTATTACGATACTTGACCTTTAGGATGATGGAAGGACTATTAATTTGGTCGAAACACGAGCGATTCCAGAAAACCAACCTGTCCCTTGCAAAGAAGAGGTTTAAATGCCCCCGACGTCCGACCCAGGATAATCTTGTGGGTCGACGTAGGTGTCAAGTAGTATAACAGGCTCGGTTGTAAGTTGCGACTATAGAGTAACGGTTTTTTTTATCCCTTCCACACAAAAGGAGGATTCTCAAACGAGGCAAGGTGATCATGACTGGCGAACCACGGCTCAAAGGTGGACATTGGGAAGTTGTATATCTTCCAACCTCAACTATAAAGTTAGATACTTTACAGGATTAGTACTCATAGTTCTTCCGTAGTTCGGTGTAACTTGACTAAATGATTGTCACGAAACATCATGAATATTTGAGAGAGAGAGTTCATTGAACCGCAATACCTGTAATAACAATAATTGTAAAAACAATGTAGAATGGTACGCCACAATGAGCTTTATTACTAAAAGCAAAAGATTAGAAATAGATTGTCGCTCGCTGTTTCTTTCATTTAAAAATTGGTTGCCTGTAAAGTCGGTATACGGGCGAAAGTTTTACGTGACAACGACTTTGAGTGGTAAAATAATTTTAATGTGAATATTCATTCGTATAGTAGGAAGAAGGATGAAATAATAGTAACAATTTAAAACATTTATTTATACAAAGAATTATATTTAAAAAAGGGACGCGTGCCTTTCACTTTTTATGTCTGTCTCTCTCGCTCTTAGGCGGGCTAACCATGCCCGAGTGGAAGGGACGCGTGCCTCTCACTCGCTCTCATTGTGAGCGCATAACGTGAGCGGAGCGTAACGCAGTTTCTTGAAGTGTCACCCGGCAAACCAATTTATAAGACGTTGTCACGTCAAAATGGCCTCTCAATTTTGGAAAACAGTTATTTTGAAAATTTACTCTAAAATTTAAGTTTCTAGCTGTCTATCGAGTAGTATAAATACAGGTACGTTTTCGCCGATAAATTTACCTGAAGCACCGGACATTCCGAGTGGTGGTGGAGGGGAATTGTCCTCCACCCGCACCATGAAGCACTTGGAATAAATCCCTGTACCGCGGGGGACTTTACAAACATACAGAAAATGTACGCAAAGAAGTAGGTGTTCACAATAATTTAATTTATGGATCACATAAAGCGTTGCACTATGTCGGAATCAAACCCACAACACTTAGCGCAGTAGAATGGTGGGAGGTGACCGCTTAAACCACTGATAGCGTCATCAGTATAGTCAGACCTCCTGCCCTAGGCTGTCGTAGTGGTGACTGTCTGTGAACATGGACACGACACATGCAAAGCCATCACCTCTACCAGGAAGCTCTCACCACCACTTCAACTACAGGACGAACCCATTCAGTGGAGGAACACGTTGAAATACCTGGGAATAACCATCATCCGCAGCACCGTCACGCGGGTAAGTAACTCGCCCTGATGCCAGACAAGTTAGCTATGTACAAACGATATGTCACCAAGCTAACAAGCGAGCGATAACTGCGTGAGCGGCAGTCGCTCACACTGCGCGATGTCGCGCAGGCTCCTTGCTATGTGAGAGCCTGTACGACCACATCCGCCGTCTTGCCTCAACGATGTTCGAGCGTTCCAGAGTGTCGACTTGGGGACACATCCGGGACCTGGCGCTTTGGCACGCTCAGCCACCACAGTAGGCTTAACCAAAGAGGTGGCTCGGAGCACTCTGAGTTTCACTCAACTAACAGTTGCA